CGGTCAGTGAAATTAGGAAATGATGTATCAAAGAGGAGCGGATATTTCATCTTATCCCTAAGTAGAATTAAATCAGAATTCAGGAAATGAAGAATCTAGACTCCTTTATAGTCGGAATTCTTAAAACTAAAAAAACTACAAACATTATCACCACTTGTACTATTTGTGATCTAGAATGCTTGGTAATGCTGCTTGGCATATTTGCCATCTATGTCAATTAACCAAGACGCGAAAAAATCAGTTCTGTTGGCTGCTCTTGAAATCACTCAGCAAAATTTACGAGTTCTCTAAATGGTGAAATTATACAACTATAAAGCTTATCAGACTCATTAATATGGAAATGTTGATGACGATCCCAAGTGAATATCTTACAAACGAATGTCTACGACTGGATATTGAATAAATAGGTAGGCTCATTGAGTAGCAGCAACTGAATTTAATAATAAAAACATGGATTATATTGCTAATATGATTATGGGTAAAAGGGCGTTATTTAATCTCAAGCAGAAGCATTCCTGATCCATAAGAATATATGTCGTAATGCTGGTTCAGTTAGGTTATTTTTTAATAAATCCATTCCAACCTTTTCACAACGTTGATTCTAACAAATTCTCTTTTACATAATACTACAGTAAAATTGTGTTTATATAATTTTCTGTATATAAACAGAAATCTTTGTTTACATAATTTTAGACTTTTTGTTTCTATATTTTGATTAAATAATTCTAGATCTAAGGTTTTTATATTTTCTTTATAAAACTGTAGACTGTGTGTTTCAATATTTTATACACGTAATTATATTGAGTATAATGATATTAAGCATAAGTATGTCTGTTCGTAAATTCTATACAAGCTAGTTTTATCATATTTATTTTAGTAGGATCAAATATATTATTTATTTTTATAGAAGATTTTTTAGTATTCATTGCAAATGTTTAAAGAAAATTAACTTATAAAATACGTACGTATGGAAATTCACAGCTACAATCGTTTCCTTTGATCAACATAACAAAACTCCACACCATCACCCACTTTAATTACATTTAAGTATCTAAAACCGTACGACCTTAAACGACGTGAGCTCCATGCGGTTGATGTTACAAATTTCAAGTCTACATAATAAATAACAATTTCAAATATATTATTAAATTTTAAAAACTGTATTTTATAATAATATAAGTCCAAACAAATTTGTAATATTAAAAATTTTGAAAATTTTATACAATTATTAGTTTTTATACATAAATCGAACGTAGATTATTTTGTTTGATTTTCTTGGAGATGCCTTCAAATTGAAATAAATTAATCTTATTATTTAAATAATAATTTTAAAATATATAAAGGCAACGATTCTACTATACATAGAGTAACGTATGTGAATAAGACACTTATATTCTGTGCCACAATTACGATCACACTAAACACACGCGCTTGCATCTATGTCGGAAAAGATATTATTTTTAAGCATGAAAAATAATCAAGACGTGGCACATCATTTTCTATAACGAATCGAGCATTTTTATAAAATTCAAAAGAAATTGGGGAAACAATTGCAATCGGAAAATCATTGCCGAACTCAAAAACAATTTTCACTAATCAAATGTCACAGGTAGATAATTATCACGGCATTGCATGTGAAATCACGGAAGGCACTTCACACTCAACCGCTGACAAGGCCATGAAATCAACTATAAAAATCTGATAAAAAAAATTGTAATAATGTGCATTACTCATATAACAAAAGGTAAAATGAATAAATAAGAAAAAATCATTGAATATATATTTGTTTATGCCTTAATACGCTTTATTTACAAGTAAATATATTATATCAATATCACTGTTATAGCTGTATAATCCTCAGATACACAAGTAATAACAAATAATTTGTTTCTTATAGGATAAAATATATCGATGTCAAAATTTTTTTCAATATTATACCAACTATTTCATTTTTTTTTTCTGTTGATTAAAACAGAAAAATTACAAATAGGATAGAGCTTAAATCTATTTCTATATAAACTTATGCCAAACATACTTTTATTTTATTATATGTATTATTTGAATAAAAATATGTTTTCAAACTGAATTACTTCTTTATTTAAAATCACAAATAATTATAAACTCAAAAAATGACAAACGAATGTAGTTAAATAGTCTTTCTTAAATATAAAAAAAAATTTATAAAAAACATATATTAAACATTGTTACTTTAAAAAATATAAATTTTCTGATTTTATTAGAAATTCAATGAATGATATGATTGAAAATAATTTAATGTAATAAAGTAGTAATGATTGTTTTCAAAATATAAATAATGTACATTGTTTATTTCAAAAGTAAAATAAATGAAAAACCAAATAACGCAAAAATTAAAACCAGATTGAAATTTGTATTTCTGACTCATATTCGTTTAATATTTTTGTTTCATATTACTAAAAGTTCGTGATAATTATTCGCAAATTTATTTCTTGTTTTTTATTTAGAATTTACCTCTTTTAGTTCGACATATATATAATTTTTCCGCCAATTTCAATATTTATTATATTGAAACTTTCAACTATTCTATATTTTCGAACCACATAATTTTTCTGCTAAGTACTGTTTAACTAAATGTTTATACTTTTTTTTTAAATATTACAAAATCGCAATAAAACTATATTTTGACAAAATAACACAAATTTCATGTTTAGCTTATATAATCAAGCATTAATTCAATAAAATATTCGGAAAAATAATAATAAAATATTTCAAAAATAATTTGCATATAATACAAAGTAAAATTAAATATAAATTATTTGAAACTTATCGGATTTGACAATTCGTATCAACATTTAATTTTGTATATATGCATTATTTATATTCAACATAATTTTTTATTTATATAATATAGTATAATTTTTAATATTTGTATTATCTATATATAGCATATATTTTGACTATAAATTCCTTTCCAATGTTCACAATTTTAAGTTATATCAGTCTTTCTGATTATTAGAATCCGTACTATTATATTAGAATACATCCGTATTACACGAATATTTTCATTTTCTTTATATTGAAGTGAAACATGTTTCATTCTTCTTGACAGGCTCAATATGCGAATATTTAAATAACTTTTTTAATATTAGAAAAATTGATAACTATTTTGATACAATTAATTCAGTAACATCCTAATTTATTTTTATTTACCGATTTGAATAATATTTCCTGAGCGATTAAAAACATTTATTTTGTTAACATTTATTAATAATTACATATATAATCATTGCCGTAGTTATATAAATTTAACTAATTAATAAATTGAAAAATTAGTAAAAATATTGATAATACATACTTAATCTTGAATACAAAAACTAATTAGTGCATTTAAATATAAATTTTGTAAATAATTTCAATTTCAATATACTGATTAGCCTGTCATTTATTTAATTCTTTCGGTGCTAGTGTAAAAAATCATATTTGGAAATAGATTTATATACACCAGTCTTGTATAATAAAATATGTTAAAATTTAAATTAAATACATTAATCCCTCAGTACAACGAAGCATTTTTTCTATTATATTAAAAAATAAAGTAAACAAAAATAATCATAAAAATTGGACTTAAAATTATATATTTATTTGATACAATAAAATACCATATTTATTTATTTTAATTATAATTATTTTAATTTAAGTATCATTTGCTGATGAATTATATAAAAAAAAAATACTTGTATTTTATTTAGAAAAATAAGTAGAATCATTAAAGTTGATAATGAATGATGGAGATAATAAAAATGAAAATTATTATTATTTTTAATTATATTATTTTCTTAATACACCATTTAGCATATGGCTTTAAAATTTTATGATATATATAATCAAAAATAAAAAGGATTAACATTTCTGTAATTAATTTGATCAAATAAATATATAATTAAGTTGACACTACAAAAAGGTAACAGTTATGCTTAAATTAAGAAAAAAAAACTAAATTAAAAATAAAGTAGACGAAATGCTGCATACAACTTCTGGGCATTTATACTTGAAAAATCTAGGCAATACAATATTCTTCACATATTTAATGTATGCAAGTTCAGAATTACTTATTAATTACAAAAACAGTTACTTTATTTAACTTTTTCAATAACACTGTACATAGTTACTTATAACTCTCCATATTATGCCAATAAAATTAATTTATAAAAGTTTTAAAATTATTTTATAGTTTCAATATTGCCTTTTATATATAATATTAAGTTTACTTTTATATAACAAAATATTTTCAAAATATTTCAATTTAATCCAAACCATTCATGCCCATTTTCATTTAGTAAATTCAGTTAGAAAACATTAAAAAATCCTTATTTGTTAAAAAGCTAAAAATTATCCAACATATACGCTTATACGTACATAATATTTATGGCATCCTGAATGTCTCCTACCAAGAAGCACCAAAACGGGCGCCACAACTGTTACAGGTTCATTACATAGATCGGCAACTTTTTTGTTTAATCATTTTATATTAATAATATGTAAAATATTTAATTATACATTTCTTTTTATACAAACATTATTAGTATATAGTTAAATTTTTAACTTTTTTTTATAGTTTTAAAATATATGTTCTTAACGTTGATTAACAATATTAATACGTTATTATAAGTATGCGTTCATCCAAAATCGTATCCACAGTGAAGAACAATTTTTTGAAAGGCCTTAATTTTTCATTTCACTAAAATTAAGAATTAAATTTAAAACAATTTTTTCCTTAATATTTAACTTAATAAGAAAGAAATCTGTAATTTAGTTAAGATACAAATTTATTTGTGAAATCAATGAAACAAAATAAGTCATTGTCTTGATAAAAAAGAAATCTTAGCATAAATCAATCTACTTATCTAATGTTATTCTATATTATTCTATTCAATTTAAACTTGGTATAAAAATTATACAAAATTTTATTTTAAAACACAATATATAATGGTACGAATGATCTAAAAATAAAAAAGCTGACGATCTTTGTATTTATTAATAATTAACATTTTTAACGGTTTTTATCATTCTATATTATATTGATTTTAGCAAATCGCACTGAAACGCAATTCTTGTAAATCATTTTATTTCCTACCTGCTTTTCTTATTTTTACATGTAAGTTTCACAATATTTTTATAAAAGAGATTCGCTACACATTATTTAGGCATCGGATGATGCACTACGACTAGAAATAATGCTTGTGTAATCATCTTTCTTATTAAGCGACTTACGAAAAATCTTGTTGCTTTCGACTTACATTTCAATTTCTATTTCAGTAAAGTAATAATGTTTGTAATCGAAACTGTTGTAATAATATTCTTGATCGTACACTTTTTAGAATATAATAATAGCAGGTTGCTTTTTATGCTATGACAAGTGGCTCATCGTCGGAAAAACCACGGATCACAGGACTATCTTCTTCTTCTGTTGGGAAGAGAAAATATCGTTATTGGACATTATTTCAAATTAATTAATAACAATGTAATATTTATACATAAATTATATTATTTTAATTTTAAAAAATTTAATGTAACAAAATGACAGCACTTTTGAAGAATAAAGTAAATAAAAGTAATAGATTTTATTATTTTCATGCATTAAATTCATCTTTGAATTTTATATTCAAAAATTAAAGAAGAATGTTAAATAAAATGTATGAATCTATAACAATATTCTTCTGTTAATAATATTTGTAATAAAAGAACTAGAATTCGTCATTAATACTGTATATTATTCGATAATAAACACGTATATTTTACTACAGCTACGAAATGAATAAAAATAAAGTTGATTTTCTATCTTTAAAATATATATTTCAACACCTCAAAGTATTGTTTCCAGTTTAAATAAATGTAATAAGGATTTATAATATGAAAAATGAGTAAATAATTGTTTTTAATTAAAACAATGATAATTACCTAAACCAGCATCAGCAGTACCAGGAAATGTTGCTTGACCTCGTCTCGTATCATAATGACTATTAGCAAATTGTGTAAAACTATTAGATAATCTTCGATGTCGTATAACAAAGTATGCAAGTGCTGCCCCTAGGGCTATCACAAGAATGCAAATTGGTATGGCAAGAGAAATAATGCTTGATGCATTCATTGGTGCTGGCCATGCTACAACTAAAGAAAAAAATAATAATTTTAAATTATACATTCATAACAGAAATGTTAGTACTATGGTTTAATTTCATAAATCATTCATTTTATTATGTATATATATATATATATATATATATATATATATATATATATATATATATCATTTAGTATAATATTTACAATGTTCTGTATTAATTTATTTTTTCATTATAGACCATTATTATATAAAATGCTTTTATATTGATATAATGAAAACTTTTAATGTTTCATAGTTTTTTAAAACAATCTTTCAAACTCAATTTGGAATAATTTCAACTTTTTTAAGTTTTAAATTAAAGATTGTCTTTAAAAAATTAAATATTGATAAAAAATATATATTTTTTATACATTTAATTAATGTATAACATGTTTATTTTAATATTTAAGAACTTTGAAAATTTCATGATAATCATGAAACTGAAGACTATATTATTTTTTTCCTATATACTAATAAATTAAAAAATGCTTTTTTCAGAATGAATGGAAAAGGTAAAGATTCATTGCTTAAAAACTACTTAAATGATCACTACATTATCAAAAGAAATAAAATTTGCTTTTTACATAAGAAAATGAAGTATATAATTTACTAACATCGAGGTTGTTGTGTACTGAAGACTTCACTCTGGGAGCTTCTATATCCCTCTTCTGTAACTAATCTCACTGCGAATGAATAAATTGTATCTGTCTTGGCATTTTGATAAATGTATGGTGGCTGATTGGCTTTGAAAATCATCGCTGTGCTCTCATTAATTGTCCTCTCACCCTCGTTCACCAATATCTCATAATGATAGTTCGTTGTTCTGGAAATGCTTTCAGGCAGTTGGTGCTCCTGCCAATAGATAAAATAACTACCGTCTTCATAAATAACACTAAGTTGATGAGGAGGAAGAATGGGCGGAGCATTGTAAATGACCCATTGTCCGGGAATCGCACCGTCAACGTCAGTGGCTAGACTTATATTATAGCGACCACCGTATTTGATACTGCGGAATGGATGTTTAAGAAGCGTCTCATTCGTAGGTGGCAGAGTAAAGACAGACGTTTTATTTAGTGTTAATTCTGTGACTGTTAACTAAAAAAATTAATTAATCCTCATGTTAAAAATAAATTAAACATCATGGGTTCATAATATTTTACATTTAAAATGTTTGTTTTTATTAAGATTTTATTATGTAAGCACACATTGACTTTTTCCAATTCAAAAATTATTAATATAATTTTTAAATATTTAGGTTTAAAAGTCAATATTTTCATAAAAACATCTTAAAAATTTCTAGTTACATAGCTTCAAGTATATGAATTCCTTACCGTGTAACCGATTTTCTCATCTATAATTGGACAACTTGAACTCCACGAAACAATCATTGTATCGGCTTTTTCGGCTCGACTAACTCGGAGCCTCTTAGGAGGTGCTTTGGCATTGAAATGTGTTGTAATAGTTACAGGCTGACTTAAAGGTCCGGCGCCGTATTGTCCTCTTACTCCGACCGCAAAGATATATGATTCGCAAGCTTCAAGATCACGAATCGTGACAGTCAAATTCATTGTTAATAATTTAGGACCTGAAAATTTCAACGACTAATTATATTACGATTCAATATTAATACATTTTTTTGGTATAATTATAATTTTTGTAAAGAACGAAATTTATTCCATATAACTAATAATTATTTATAACATGTTAATACACCGATAACACATATAAAATGTATTTACTCTTGTAAAGATCCACCATGTTAAGAGCATAATGTATTGCATATTGCCACTTGATTTTTCTGTTTCCTTTCGGTGGATCCCAACTCAACTTCACAGTTGTTCCATGCGACTTCAGTAAATGTGGTTCCAAAATTGTCATTGATGGAAGTGGATGATCTTTTGTCATTCCAGTGATCGTAGCTGCCTTACCTACATAATTTTTCTTTGTTGCTCCTACTTCAAAAATATACCTAGTTCCAGGTGCTAAGTTATCCACAACGAAAGTATTAGACTTTGTGGTATCGCTATCGAGAGTTGGATAAGATGGTTGACCACGTGGAGTAATAATGTAACCATCAGCGGATTCAATTTTCTTCCAACTAAGAGTCACCGAATGATTGGTCATATCAATAACTTTCAAATCCTCAATATTATCAATATTAGCCGAACCATCGAAAGTAATAGTTGCAACATTAGAAGAGTCAGACTCGTGTTTTTTATTTTTGGCAATCACCCAGAATGAATAGTTTTTATCTATAAAATAATTTATTTATCTATATACTGATTGAAATACATAAAATAATTGAAAAACAAAAGTATAATAGTTTTAAACAAATGGCTATTGGTCATCTCAATTGAAATATAAATAGTTATAATTTTTATGAAATTTATGAAATTTAGAACTAATCCATGATTTAATAATCGTTTTTATTTGTTGATAAATTGTAAAAAATTTTTAAATATTATTACTTCCGAAATCAGAATTTTCATGTATAATAGTCATAAGTTATAGATTTAATTACAAATAATAACTTAAAAAAAAAATTAATTCTTAATTTTAACAAATTATATATATATATATATATATATATATATATATATATATATATATATATATATATTATACAACAATTATTTCATATTTTATTAAATATACTTTTAATTTTCATCTCATTTATTTTGTTTGTTAAAGTTGTTAACGTTATAAACTAAAACAGAAATATTCCTTCGTTCAGTAGTTGTTACCTGCTTCAAAGGCTTCATCTATTATGACAAATGTCTTCTGTTGAGAATGGACTGGAGCTGGCGGAATGGGCGGCGTCATAAAAATATCATAGCCAGTGATAATACCATTGGGATGCATTGGCGGCTGCCACGAAACTTCGATGCGGCTTCCATTTCTTTGTATAGCTGTTACATTCCATGGAGGACTAGAGATACCCTCGCCGGTCATTACAACCAAATATCTGCAATTATATTACAATTTACAAAAAAAATAATGTTATTCTTCTTCTTATTCACTAAATTGAACTGTATAATTACACATTTATTAAAAAAAAGTATAAGAATTTATATCTTCTATCTTTAACAACATGAATTAGTGTTTCTATTAATCATTAAAAAGAGAACCGTTAAATATATATATATATATGTACGCATAAAACACAAGCTACAACACATAAACTTAATTTTTTAGATTACCTTGAAGTTCATAAAGTTCACATTAATGAATTTAGCATAAATTCCTTTTTTTTTTTAATTTCATAAACGAACCTATATTTAAATAACATCAACTTACATTTTGTGATTTACAAAAAATTTACTTATGCATTTCATTACAATATATATACATTTGGTAATTAATAAGTAGTCATAAATAATTGAAAATAAAACTTATTATTCTAACATGAATATTAATATGAATTACTAAACAACGTTGTAACATAATACATATCATTTCCAATTCTAATGGAAAATTTTAATAAAAAGTAAATATGACCATTGAATACAAATTTTAATTTTAATTTGAACTTACCTAGCTGGAGGGAAAATAGTTGGCTGACCTTTTAGTTTTACATATACTGTTAAATTGTAACGTGTATAGGGTTCGAGTTTATTAAATTGATATTCCGTGTCCTCAATCAATTTACTAGCATTTGTCCATTTAGCATTGTGCTCCGCAAGTGCAATTGACGGTAGGAACTCAAAAGTGACATTGTTTGGTATCGGCATCCACCAAAATAAGAACAAACTCGTAGCATTCGTTGATCTCTCGTCTACACCAATATTGAGTACCTTCAATAAATATATAAGAAATGAAGAACGTATTATACAGATTTATCAATTTTAAAAACTTAATGCTTTAAAAGCTTTAAAATTTAATTAATTTTAATTTTAAATTAAATCTTTTTATTTGAATGATGTAATTATAATAATTATAAAAAATAAAAAAATTCTTACTTGATAAACTCTTGTATTATTTTTTTCACAGTTGCTTTCGTCGAATTCATCGTAACAATCCTGCTTTCCATTACAGTAGGCCGATAGAGGGAAACACCTAGTTTCATCGCAAGGGAAATAACCAGTGTCACACAAAACGGTCGAAGGACTTGTATGATGATGATCGCATCCTCTTTCATCACTACCGTCTGGACATTCGGCGATTTCATTACAAATCTTCGTAAGAGGAACGCACGAACCATCGGTAAAACACTTAAATTGATCTTCATTACATCTGCAATGATTAATTAAAATTTATTACAATTTTGTAAAATTTATTTAAAAATATAGGCATGTGAAAATAAAAATTAATTTTTAAATGCATATTATAATTTAAACAAATTGACTAAATTCTATCAGCATTTTCTACACATAAAAATCTTGTTATTCAAATGATTAAATATTTTTGTTTTCATGGTAATGTTCAAAATGAAGTTCCCGTATTAAAACATTATGTTTTAAAACTATGTAATAAAACATTCAATATGAACTGTTATTAATAGTTGATAAAATGGTTCTTAAAGTTTTTCGATAACGATTTATATATATACATATATATTATACAATACATCATATTATAATATGTTATTTTGCAAATATTAAAAATGATTTAAAAACTTTTTCAATAATTGAATACATACAGTAAATAAAAATTTCTATATTTGATATTTTCATTTTCAATTTGTTTAATTATTAAATGAATTGCTTACCCAAATCGTACATGACTGCAATAAAGTTCATCTTCTCCAGTGGCACAATCTTTTGACCCATCACACATCCAGGCAGTTTCGATACATTCCCCATCAAAGCACTGATATTGAAAGTCCCTGCAGACGTGTGGATGATCGTCTGTAGTAGACATAGTAGAACCCGTGATACCAGGAGCTTCGGGAAAGCCACAGCCTGTCTCGTCAGAGTTATCACCACAATCATCGACACTATCACATTTCCACCAGTATGGGACGCACTTCTTATTTTTGCACATGAACATCCATTCGTTACATTTACTGGAATTTGTAGGTAAGGGTGACGAAGCCGGCAATGTGGTGTATTCAACAGACGTACAATTCGCTTCATCTGCGCCATTATTACAATCCTTATCACCATCGCATACCCATGATTTATAGATGCAACGATGCCTCTTTTCTAAATTATAACAGTCAAATTGCCAAACCTACAATTAAGATAAACCATAATATTACAAATGTTTGATTAACTTCGCAATTGTTTAATTAAATTAATTGTTCTAAATAATTAATATTTTTATTGAGTTTTTGTTGGAATTCAAAACTAATGATAAAATAAACTTATATTTTATATTTTTCATTAACAAATGAATTATATTTACTTCGCATTCAAAACCTTTGCAGTCATCTTCATCACTGCTGTCTTCACAATCGGGTTCGCCGTCGCATTTCCATGTTTTCGGTATGCAACGATTATCTGATTTGCAAGCAATTTCATCAGATTTACATGTACTAGGTGTATAAGAAATGGAACAATTCTTTTCATCTGAATCATCCCGACAATCGTTCTCACCATCACATACCCAACGATGAGATATGCAACGACCATTCTCGCATCTAAAATAATTCATTGTAAAAAAAAAATTAAAAACAAAAGTTTCAATATTTTTTTACAAATAATATGTTGTGTAAATTAACCTAAATTGTGATTCAGCACAATTCGTGTATGTGCAATTCATTTCGTCCTTTCCATCTTTACAATCTCTATCAAAATCACATACCCAGTATCTTGGCATACACCTTTCTTCATCACAAGCGAATGTGTTTGGTTGACACTTGACCTTATTGCAATGATTCTCGTCCGAGTGATCATCGCAATCATTATCACCATCACACTTCCAGAACTTTGGAATACAAATACCGTTATCGCAGACAAATTGATTAGCAGCACAACTATGGGCAACTTGCGGACAACTTGAATTGGCATAAGGTTTAACTCCACCAGGACACATACATATGCCGTCTTGCATAACCATACCATCGGGACAAAGGCAAACGTAATTATTATTCGGAGCTCCGAGACAAATGTGTGAACATAAACTGCTATTGGAGCATTTATTTTGGCCAGATTGTACGCTATGTGCAAACACCTATATAATAGGACAAAATATTGTAAAAAATATACAGATTTAATCAAGTTGATTTTCAAAATATCAATATTAAATTAATACTACATATTATTTATAAACCATTACGGAAACTACCTTTAAATCCATAAGACCAGCAAGCTGACCGATAATACTCGTTACGCCAAAGCCATGATCTTTATCTGCTACAAAAATCATCGATTGCTTCCAGTCGTCCCAATACATATTATCTTTAAATACGGCCACCGCAAATGGGTGCGATACATGTTCATTATTTTGTATAATTTTTTTAAAACCATTGCCTTGAAAGTCAGAGGATCCGATGTAATCTTGACGAGCATCCACCCAATATATTCTTTCAGCAATGTGATCAATAGTAATACCTTACAATTTTAATTATTTGTTAATTGTATTAAGTAACTTTTTTCTTAAAATAAAGTAATTTGACATCACTAATAAAATATTTCATATCGTGAAAATAAAAATATAAATTATAATAGTTTTGTACATACAAATAAGTACAACATATAATTTTTTATGTTATGTTTATATTAAGTTTTACAGTTTTTATTTTGTTTTAAATAAATCAATAAAACTAACCATTAGGCCATTCAACTCTAGCATGAAAAAGCTGTTTAACATTGGATCCGTCTAAATTAGCTCTATTAACCGATGCGTTGCCAGGTGCCCAATCAGTCCAAAACATATATCCCATCATAGGATGTACAGCAATACCTCTTGGTTTTTGTACATTGTTTGGACCTAGAATCGTTCTTCTCATTCGTCCCATTGTAGATAAGTCAGTCCTAATTATTTGAATTCTCATCCTCACACCATCCACAAAATACAGGGCATTTGAAACCCAATCGAGCGCCATACCTTCGATCGAACTTAAATCGGTTTCCACAAGGATTTCGGGATAACTTTTTCCATCTTTAAAGCATTGGCGGCCAATTGTATCGTTTACTATGTCTGCCCAATATAGACAATTATTTTTCATATCAAATTCGATTGCAATAACATTTTTTAAATCATGAACTGGAAGGACTTCGAGCTTTTGTTCTTTTAAATCGATTCGAGATATACGTTCACGCTGTGCTACCAGCAGAAATTCTGACATTTCTTCCATAGGGCATGGTATCTATTATTTAAGAAGATTGCATTTATTATTACAGTCTGTTCTGGTTATATTTTCAATTTGAATTATATAAATTATTATTTTCAAGATATTTGTGTTATCAGTATAGTAAGGTTTTTTAAAACCTATTTATAAGTAATAATTTGAATTAAAAAAGAATATGATGAACGTCGTATAATAAGCATTGTGTTTCATATTTAAAACTAATATTTTAATTAATCTATCACGTTTCCCAAACAATTTTTTAATATTTAAAAAATTAATAAGGTGTTTATTCTTTAATTTAATCAAATTAAATAAATTTTCGTAAATTGTTTCAATTGTTCAATAGATAAAAAATAAAATTAACTTAACAGAACCATTAAATACGGTATTCGATGATTAGAAATTTATTTAGTCAATAAACTGCAGCCATTAAAGTGAATATAAATAGAAATAATATTTTTAAAAAACAACAAGTATAGTATAATACAGTAAAATTAAAATTAAAATTAAAATCCAACCTCATCGGGCTCATAGAATTTTGCTCTACCGCCAATGCAATCGTCATCTGCAATCTTTATATAACCCTTAGTACGATTATAAAATTTTCCAGGAGTACATGTATGTGGCACTACATAAGGATCATGATTCTTAAGTGTTTTGTTACGTATACACGTGTATGATGGAACCAATGGAACAGTCGGTCGAATGAAACCAAAATCACATTGATAATCTTGAGCATCACATGGGCATATTTCAGTTTTTATAGGATTATCAAAGTTAGTTCCCGTATAGCAATTTGCTCTAGCACTACGACGTAAATAAGTTTCTTTACGGCCAAGAACACAAGTAGATGATATTTCCTAAAATAAAAAATGATCCAATGAATTTACCAGTATTTATATAAAATAACTGATTAATGTAGCTTAATGTTTATATTGTATAGGTGTTATAAATTTATTGTTTGCTATGAAATTAAAAAAAAAAAGAAATATTAAAGATAAAATAGGTATAAATTGATTAAACTAGACTCTAATAACTTATAAAACCATCATTTAAAATATATTCAAATATTTCTCAAGAAACTTTACTGAATATATGGTGGTGTTGATGTACTCACTTAGTATTCAAAGAATATTTTAATAAGTTGCTGATTAAAATATCCTAATTACAATAATTTATTTATATCTTATTGAAAAAGAAGTTTAAGAACAATATAATTATAATTATTGTTATTAATATTAAGAATTGTATTAATTTCAAATATGTTATTTCAGTAGCATAAAAACACAACATTAGAATGTTGGTTTCAAATTTATATTAAATTTTATCAATGTGTACTACATAACTATGTATTTAAGAAGCATTATTTACCTTCGGTGAGGCAGGTAACCAATATTTGAAATCATCGTCAGTACAATTTCTCTCAAACACTTTGCTTAAATCTACTTTAATAATCAACCATTGATGTTCACCGCTTCCGGAACCAAACATCGTGAAAACAGTAGTATTTTCTCCAGGTTCAGTCATTAGTCCATATACCCTAAGCATTTTCTCGGTAAACTCCAACGTTTGCCAAGTTTCTCCTTCGTCAATCGAGTATGAAATATCCTTCGTTTCGCCCTTCATCTTAAAATATTTTACCGCTACAAGTACACCGCCATGATCTCCCATGTTAAAGAAATAGTAATCTTGTAGCACTTGTTTCCAAGTTAATCCAGCATCCCGCGATACGTACAATGCTGCATGTCCCTTTAAACTTGTACCGATAACTCCCGTCGCCATTATTAATCCGGGAGCAGATTTAGAACTCATAATCGAAGCTGCACGATATACAGGATAAAGTTGACTGAATTTCTGACTGAGATGCAATGAGCAGGTCTCAGGTTTGCATTGATTGTACAAACGCTTGTAACTGGATTCAGGTGCTTTTATACGATTCCACGTCATGCCATGGTCATAAGTGATGAGAGAAAGCAAATGTTCCGGTCCAATTAAATTTAGCTTCGGATTGCCTTGAACTTCAGAAGCAATATAAATGCCACGTAACCCTTCGACCTTGTAAAGTTCAGTAAAGACCTCATCCGCTACTTCGCTGAAATGAATGAAATTTAATTATGTTAATTTTTTTATAAAACATTGAAACAAAAAAATATTCATTACTTTGACTAAAAATATATAAATACATGTACGTAACAAAATTATACCCACAAAGTATTAGTTTTTTAAACTAATAATCAATGAACTTGACTGAATTTTAATTAATAATATAAGTATGGGTGTACGCGTGTACGTATGAGCCTGTATATGCCTGTGTGTATAGGCTGATATTAAAAATGTAGACAAATGTTAACTTATATATTTACAAATTTTTATTTTATTGCGAAAAAAGGCGAGTTTTTAATAAGTAAAATTTTTTAATTTCGCAAAATAAATCGTGAATTGTTAAAAAATTTTGTCTTCTCTTCTTATTAAAATACTTAAAATTCTTATTAATCAACAGTATCTGAGTCTACATTGCAAATATTAAGTTCTATTTCCCTACTCACATTATTCCATGCTACTTAAAATTAAATTTTGATAAAACAGATTTAATAAAAACATTCGTTCATTTAGCTTTAAAGCATTTATATAAATATTTTAGAAATCGCTATATCTTGAATAAGGGTAGAATATGTTCATTCGCTTGCTTTAGTAAAATCTGCTTTACTTTCTCCTTTCTTACAAATTATGTTTTTTTTTTTTTTTTTTTTTTTTTTTTTTTTTTTAAATTAATCTAAAAGAAGATTTCAAGCTCAAAAAATTCATAAAAAAGGTAGAGCAAACGAGTGTAATGAAAATACACTATGCAACCCGTATTTACTCATTAGTAGTATCATACAAATTCTTGAATATATAAATTTATTATAAAGCTATATTTGAAGATATTTATCTACAAGTAAATATTAAAAAATGAATGGTGAGATTAATCGAATATATTTTTATTATTTTTAAATTTATAATATTACACGATGTTCGGAGGAAAATTAAAACATAGCCTAAATGCGTATATTGCATTTTCAACAATCTATTGATTTTATTTTAATGATAAAACTGTAGTTTATTTGACATCGCATTATAATTACTTAATAGCGAACAATATATTTAGTCAACGTGTATATATATATAAGAAAAAGAAAGAAACAAAAATCAAATAAGCCATTCATTATATTTACTATTATGATTGGATTTATTTTAAAAAATTTTATAAACTAGCATTTTTACTTACTTTAGCCAACTATCACTCCATGTGTTATTCGGAAAGAAAGTTAGAATATTCGGAAGCGATAAAAGAAACTTCACGCCATTATGATCGATGTATGTAGATATATAAAGATTGACCAATGTTTCTGTATGAGACACAGCTACGAATATTCGATTGTTCGATATGTCAGCAACATGGTATTCCCTGCAAGGAAGATCCGTATCGAACAGTGCAGGTACAAATGGTTGGTCTTTATACGATATAAACAGTTCTAGACCTTGAGTATCGTTATTCATTGGCTAAAAAAATTAGGATTAAATATTTTATTAGTGGCTAAATTTTGTTTTACAAAACGTAGGCTTCATATTTATAAAAAATTTCATAAATATTTTTGATAAAGTTTTTTTAATATCAAATGCTCACGCATGAAGATAACATGTATTTAAAATTGGTCTAAAACCTATCAAAACTTGAATTACTAGTGTCTATTATGTTATAAAAATATTTTTTTTAAACCTACTACTTTAAAAACAAAATAATTAATAAAATTAACTTTGATTTTCATATATTATCAAATAATAATTTGTTGTTGTAATTCATTAATTGTAAGCAAAGGATATTGAAAATGAGTAAAAAAATTATATAAGGCATAAAAATAAAAATCAGTTACAAGCTAAACGACACTTAAGGTTACTATTTAAAATTTTAATACAAAATTTTTATTATTATAAACCTTTTTTGTGGCGAACATGTAATCACCACGTATCTGGAAATCCTCGACGTTAATTATGACTTCGGTATATCGTCGAGGTGCCCATCTCCATCGAATTCTACTTGGTCCAAGATCAATTACATTATTTTGACCCCCCGGTCCCGTACGTTCGATTAATAAAGATTTTGGTTTGGTGTTCGTCCAAAAGAAAGCTTTTACATACTCGTGCACAATTTCCCATGATGTACCTCCATCCAACGTCATATACAACTAATTAAAATTATTAAATATATAAAAATTGTTATACTAATGAAAAAGGGAAAACACGAAAATATTGTTCAGTGGGGTACGAAGCTTTCAATAGTTTAGTAATAAATTTTAATTGAATATGTAATAAATTATATTATTTATTTAATAAAGTATTTATAGGTATTTTTATTTATAATTAAAAGATAATCGTTAGAATAACTGCCAACAAAAATGAATAGATGAATATCAATATAGAAGAAATTTAACATACTTTACGCATTGGATCAACCTTATCCAGAACTAGAATTGCATGGGAGGATCCATAATGGTCATCACCAAAAGCAATTTCGCTTGGTGTGAAGTCGAGTTTTATTCGCTTGACGTCAGAAATACGATACGAGTGTGTAATGAATATCAATTTATTCGTACTGTCCGCAAACACGCACTAAAATAAGTCGAATAAACGAGGTGATTAACGATGTATTGTTTCTAATTAGTAATACATTAAACATAATATAATTTTATTCATTTTTACAATAAATTTATTTACTTTATTATACTTAGTAAATATGAATACAAACTTTTTAAATTTTATGTTTTCAGATTGTGGTTATGTAAAAAATTGAATTAAATTATTTCTATAGAAAAATATTTCTTCCTCAGTCATAAACTGCTAAGAATTCGTTGAATCCATAAAATTTGGTCTATTACGGTACAATAGTTATCTTTATTATGCATTTAACTTATTTCAGAATCAGAAGAAATTTTATTTCTTACAGTGCATGCGTATATTTTTACACATCAATGAATACTTATATTGAATTCCAATAATATTTATCAGATTAGATCATATGAGCACTATAAATATATGGAAATCACTTGATTAATAATATGTAATTAATAATGATAATAATTATCTCACGTATAAACATCAGCTAAAACTACCATATAATTTTAAACTTCGTGTTAAAAACGACTGTTTTTATTTATAATTTAAATAACTCAAAATTATTATAATATAATATTATTTAAATGCAAAAAATTATCTAAAAGTTGAATATACAATGCTGTATATGTAACTTTGTACACGTAAATAATAAATACTCTGGATATGCAAAAAATAAAAATTTATAAAAAAAATTTTATTTTTTTTTAATTTATCTTTCAGTTAAAATGTCAAGATTAAATAATTTTTTTTTAACTCCAATTCTCTCTCTTTCTCTCTATTTTGATATACTTTATCAAAAAAAAATAAAAAATAAAAAAAATAAACAAAAAATGAACATGAAAAATACATAAAAATATGTTTATTCTCTGGCAATACGTACAAGTCGATTATAAGTCGGATGATTATAAAATTTATCCACAATGGCGTATTTAGCGTCTGGCTCGTCGGATACCTTGAAGCTGTTCGTTTCGTTGACAAAGGTATCGCCATAATCGTAACTTACATATACAGCACTGGGATTTACAGTTGTGTACTGTTGCCACGTTTGGTACGTCTTGGGCAGTGGATTATCCCTAGCCAGACATATTATCATATTCGAACCCTCACCTATCCAGTGTACCATCAACTGTTGATGCGAATCGTGTAACTCGTTCACCTGAAACATGAATACGAATTTAAAAGAAAACAGTTCCTCGTATCAATTATTATTAGTAAATAAATATTAAAGGTGGAAAGAATTTAAGTACATTGATATAAACAAAAAATTATAATGAATTCTTCATAATCGATACAAGTTTTTTTATTAATGAATTATGCAGATTTTACTTTATTAAGTATAAATGGATAAAGCATATTTAATATAACTATATGTTATAATACTTTAATTGATATTCTTATCAATATAACTATATGTTATAATACTTTAATTGATATTCTTACTATCAGCTTAGTTATAAATTATGATATATTTATTGATATACTAAAAATATGAAAGAAATCTTAAAATAAAAATTTTAATAATATATAGTTAGAATTAATGAGTTAGCACTTGCGCTGTATTTATAATCAATATTAATAGTAAGCAAAATATTTTAAACAGTACATAAACAAAAGTAACATGTAAAAATACTAATATGTAAAACTCTTATAAGTAATATGTTAAATTTGAGGCAATCACCAGCTTTTTAATTAATTTTTAAGTAATTAATTTTATTACTGAAACACTTTAGTGTTGCTTTCACCAATATTCCATATTGTATTTAGATTATGCAAAAGTTCACATATTTTTATAACTTTATAAACAACGTCAAATGAAACTGAGGATAATATCTAAAGACTTGCTGCAAAATCATTAAATATTTGTCTAATTCATAACTTTATTTGTCAATAAATTTATGGGTATACAAAATTACAATAAAGAATTAGAATTTAAAAGCTATTAATTTTTTTCATCGACGCTCTGTCTTTCCATCAATTGCCTTATCATCCTATTATATCTGAATCTTTGTGTAAGAGAGCATGTATAAAGCATATAAAAAGAGGCGACCCATGATGAGTCATAACATTTTATCTCTCCTGTTGGTCAGCCTCTGCTAAAGTAAAAACATTATCAAACACTCGATTACTTTGTCGGCTAAAAGTGCTTGTAAACGAGTATTACTTGGACTAACCTCGCAAATTATTATTTTTTTTTATGTATAGAATTATATCATTATTAAGTAATTTAATACATGCAATTATATTCAATAACAATTTATAAAATTAGTTATAAAGTAGTATAACAAAATTAACACTCAATATAAAACAAATACATATAAATCTGAGTGTGTAGTTGTTTAGCAATTTGTAACTGATACAATGACAGAACATAATATATTTTGACTTTTATTTATTATTACCAAATCAGTAGTGCGATTATAACTACATTACGAAAATAAAACTATGCTCTTTTTAATTCTTTAACTAACATTTTTTACTGCTCTAAAAAGTTATATAATAACATGCATTTATCAATATTATTTTTATAATTTATATATTAAACTTTCATTTATGTAATCTCGACGTTTAATAATCATACATATATATATATATATATATATATATATATATAAACATGTTAACTAAGAATGCTTGATACGAAATAGCAAATATTTGTCGGATACAAAATATTAAATATTGATGGTTATCTCATATTTTAATTATAATTTTTATTAAAGTGCTTATGTATATACAGTAATAATAATAATAAGATGTATCAAATTTATTTAACAATTAATTTTTTAGCTTATAACAATATTCGAGATAATTTAATGATACTTAGTATGATTTGCTCATTTTTCTATTGTGTTATTTCTGTCATATATGTAAAAATGCAATGCACATACAAATTTAAATTAAAGTAAAGAAAAAATAATTACAATTGAATTATCCTTTTTAGTGGTAAAAATTTCTAACATCTCAACAAAGAAATATTCTAAGGGATATCTATATGAATTTGTATATTATTACAAAAACTCCTCTGTTTATATTTTCTTATTGATTTTCAAAAGATTCTACATTGTTAAAAAAATCTCACAATTTTCTAAATGATGATGTCGATGCATTGAACCATTGTTCAAAACTTTATTATTCATAAATAAATAAAATTTTTTTTAATTCAAAATAATATGCTATCCTTAAAAATTATGTTTTATATTAATAAAGATTTAAAGTACAATAAATTGTTCATTATAATAATTATTAATTTTACTGATTTGTAATGTTGTTTAAAAAATTTTAAGTAGCTATCTACATAAATACATTTAACAGTTATAAATTTGGCTTGGAATATATAAGTAATTCATCACATATAAATGAAAGGCACTTAATCCTTAAAAAGTATGAAATCCTATTTTATCTTAACCATTTTGTAAAATATGTTAGTAAGTAACACAGTGTTCAGTAAAGCTTATAGCAATATTTTCATTTTTTTACTATGAAGCTTTCGATAAACAAGTAACATGTAAACTTACTTATATTAAACTGATATATTATTGATGATAAAAAGAAATTATATTTGTTGTTTAGGATTTCCATATAACATTATCGATTTTTAAATTGTATATAACAAGATCATCTCTTTAAGTCTATTGTTAAGTTGAGTACTAATGATAGTGTAAAAGATCAATATTTATAATTCTTCGGAGCAAACATAATTTTAGCGAGAATATATTATTCACTCAATAATAAATAGCTAGAAATAATAACAGTTGACAGTAATATAATTGTATAATATGATAGGTGTTGTGACATTAATAAAATTATTGTAATTCATTTAATAAATGGGATTTTTTTTAATTTAAAAAATATTTTGTTCCTTTTCTGCTATTACATTGACTAAGTATATTAAATTTCTAGTAAGTCTAAAATATTTAATATTTTTAAAGCAAATTATTTTGCTCATTTCACACAGTGCATTTTCATCAATTATATTTCTGAAATAAATTTACAAAAAAAAATTTTAATTAACTCCCATCTTTATTTCTATATTTAGTCAATATAAAAATGGCCTATGAAGCGATATCTAAATGATTGTGGAATATATTTCTTTTAAACTGTATTCTATTACGGAAATAAGATAATTTAAAAGTATTTTTATAAAATTGATTTATAAACATCTGTAAATTAACCAGTGGTGTATGTCAAGTATAGGGAAAATAATATTAAAAATTGTTGTTACATAATAACCAACCAAATATTTTAATTATATAATATATATTTTCATTAAACATACACATTAATTTTGCTATTTTTCGATTCACTCATCATACTATCATGATTATACTCATATATGGTTAGACGCTTATAAGATTTAAAAATAGTTTTGTTCGTTAATATATAAGTAAGTAACAATAGATTGAACAATATATTATCAGATATTTAAAGAAATTTTATTAACGAATACTTTTATTTTACTTTTAATAACGATGAATTACTGTTATCATTGAAAATAAAAAAAAAAAGGTTTTAATTATAATTATATAAGTATTTACTTTGATTGACATATTCAGACATTTACTAAAAATAAGTAATTTTAAACTATTGTGAACTAACAAACTTTTAAAAAATACATTGTGATACATACAGTATCCGACAGATTAAAATTTATCATGATACTCAAAAACTATTGAATGATAAATAAAAAGTTGCACAAAGAACCCTTTATGCAATTTGAAGTCAATAATAATTTAATAATCATTTAACAAATAGCCAATTTATCTGTGTGAATTTTATAACTACAGTTTAAAACTTCATTAAAAATCTTTTAAATAATCAAATTGTATTATTGTTTCAAAATATTGTGCATTCAAGTTTTTTGTAAAATAAGAGTAATGAGTAAGTAATGTTATAATAAACAATGACTCGTCGTGATAAAATAATCATATCATTAATAGAATAATATTGAAACCAAAAACTACCGTAGAATTTAAAAATGAAAAACTTATTAAATACTCCATGAAAATTAATCCTTTATAATTTTTATAACAATGTATAATACAGTAAAACAAGCACTTAAATTTTTGAAAATCAAATCACGTATATAAATACCATCCACTTTCTTGAACAAAAATTAGATTTATCTCAATAGATTAAATCATAATGCAACTAAATTGATGCGATTAATTATTGCTTAATAGAAACTAATAAATTTTAAAGTCTTCTGCGTAAAGTTTTTATAATAAAGTTTATTATCTATGTAACTTTACAGAAATTTAAACTTACTCGCATCCGCAGAAAAAGATAAGCGAGAAAATGAGTCAGTTTAGTCCATCACTTGATTTCTTCGAAAATATCTGTTAAATAGTAGTGGTCATAACGCGAGCAAAAGTATAACTTCAACTCTTGATTTTACTTTTTGTGTTTTTTTTTTAATTGCTTTTTAACTGCATAAATAAATATCAATAACTTTGTATGCCCATTATTAATTACCAAACAGACAGTGAATTAATGTATGCTATTTACAAATACTATACATTCACTGATAATGAGATATTAAATTTTTTTATTTCAATGAATGAATAAAATGTTATAAACTTTATATTTTGTCATTTTTTCCTACTAATCATTTATCAAATTAATTAAATTGAGATAAATTATAATACTTATACGAAGAAATATGTTTTATTTGAAAAACAATATTTATAATCCTTTCCAATAAGTATTTTATATGTTTTAATATTTTTGTGTATTACATTTATATCTTTAGAAAATTATAATTTTTATAATTTTATTAATGAATCCTATATTTTTGCACTTTTTAATTTCTGTACAATACATACATACAAATTTTAAATTTTCGTGTATTATTAACATCGTATCGAGAGCATGTTGATAGCTATCTTGTATATAATTGGTATTTGCCAACCAGAAGTTAGGACACAAACATGAAAAAATTTAACATACTTAAGTGAAAGACATTATATCCTCGGATAAATTAAAGAAGGAAATATTGAGCAATGACCTGCATTAAAATGACTAAAATCAATTATTTCTTAATAGAAATTGCTTAATCAAGAATTGATTTCTACTTTCAAACGCTTTAAAAAGTTGATAATCCAATTTTTGTATAAAGCAAACTAGGAATTAACCTAGGTGTTGAACGGTAAATAATTTTAT